CAAGTTATGTTAATTTCTTTACATTTAAAGGAAATATTTAGTTGAGAGCAGACTGTCTGTTTAGTGTTTATTAGTTGATTGTTTTGGTAGTGTCTTTAGTTGACCCCTTGTGTGTGTTATTGGTTTGGCCAGCCAATATATACATGTGTGTCATTTGTCAGGTCAGTTGGTTTTGTTGAGGTATTAGACAGTTCAGTTTGCTGTATTTTGAGTTTCTTTATTTATTTATTTATTTTTTTTGAACCTCTTTTAGGGCCCAGTTTATCTGATGTTAATTTAGCATTTTTCTTGCTTTTGGGTTAATAAAAAACCCTTTATTTTGTACTTTGAAAGCTGTATCTTCTGCCTTACTGCTTGGTCCCTGACAAGGACACGATGAAAATCAAAAAATACATCAGAGCATGAACAAAAATCAGCTGCAGCTGTTTGCGCCTGCAGCTGGCTCTCTCTCTCATTAACCGCTGTCGGCATTCACTCCATCGTATGTGGAGGTGGAGGGAATAATTTCAACTATGAAAACCCAACAGGTTCACTCAGTGCCTTGGGGTGACTTTTGTTGTGATTTGGTCTTGTACAAATAAGCTGAACTGAACTGAGAACTGCAGGGTAGCTGGCTCTGACAACACGACCTCTGCTGGGGAGCTGAGGTACAACATCAACACATGTGCCATGATTTACAAACACAACCTCAAAGAAGGAAAAAAAAAAAAAAATCAAAATAAAATACTTACTTCACTATCCTTATGTCAACCACGTTAGATCGTGGTGCTGAAAATACACGAGTCAAAAACGTGACTTAAGGAAAAACATTTACTATTTATTTATGGCTGTAAAACAACCACAGCAGAGAAGACAGACGGTTCACGGTCAGCACCTCTGTGGTTTCACATTTCACCCTGGTTTAAACGTGCAACAACTCGTAGGTGCTGAATCAGCGATGTCTAAAACATACATTCACCACATTCAGTAGAATCTGACATTTACTAAAATACACATTTCTGTTAGCACAGTAGAAACTAAACATCAAGTGTATAAAACAGCTGTTTAATAACAACTATCAGCATGATGGTCAGGATATTTTTTGACATATTTTAAAATATCTCCAACAGTTTTTGTTTTACACATTTTCTTATATATCACCAAATAATTAAGACCACCAGCAGGACAAACCAAAAGGACAGTTCCGTCCACCGGTCAGTGATCGGTCAGTGACGGAGGTGGAGCTTGATCAAATACACATATACTGGTCTCATATGTCCCGTTTCCCACAGTGCTACCTCCGCCTTCTGAGAAAACAGGACACCTGTGTCAAATTATTACCTGGTCAACAAATCATCCTGCAAAACCTGCAATCGTATTTTATGCTGATCAAGAAATTTTTTTTTTTTTAATGTACCAGTGAGCACAAAAAAGGTGTGACTCTATGAAATACACTATACTGTTTAAAAACTCGTACTTTTACTTTGGTCGTGAAATAAGAACATTCATAACAGTTTTTAGAAACTGAACTGTGATTGTTTAAAAACTAAATCTCATCAGTCTCAACATTTGGTCCTGTCAACATCTACCACCGTTACAAAGATGTAGATTGTTCCAGCGTACATTTTCTCGTTGGGTATTTAAATCACAGGCTATATTGAGCCTGGAGCTGAAGAAGCATTCGGTGCTGCAGACGTGGAAACAGACCTGTACAGCAGCTCATTTCCTCCACAGTGCAGTGATTCAGGTAAAATTAAACTGCTCAACAGGTTTCATGAATATCATACACCTGTGTTAGACACTTTTTTTAAACAATCCAAAACTACATTCAACTAGAACTGGCAAATGAACAAAATCATTTTCTGTCCACAAAGACACAGGGAAGTGATAAAAGCTGCTCCTGGTTTTGATGGATGCAAAAAACAAGTGTAGAAAATCACTTGTTGGAGTTTGGTTCAGAGCAAAATGTAAAATTTGGCATCAGAGGCAGATAAATGTGTTTCCTGATTCACAAAGCGTGTTATCACGGTAGGAAATAAAGTTCACAAACATTTCAAGATCAACTTGAATTAACGTCAGTATTCTGACATTAATCTGATGACATTTACTTCTGGTGCATGTGACTGCCTAAAGACATTTGTAAGATTTTATTCACAGACAGTTACTTCTGTGTTACACTGTCTTTTCGTGTCCTCTGAAGCGTTCAGTCTAGGTGCTGGTGGAAAACTCAGACATCTGAGCAGTCAAATCATCAGATTAAATATAATGTGAAGTCAGTATGGCTGTAAACAAATGCAACAGAACAACTATTTTAATCCATAATGTTCTTTCTAACTGTCCATAATGCCAATCTGTGTGCTCTGCCTGTGTCCTGACGGAGGGAGCCTGAGTTTCTTCCATTGTTTTCTCATTAAAGAGTTTTCTTGTCACTTCATCTAATGAGATAACAGACTAACAGAGAAAACAATATATAAAAATAATTTACCAGCACGTTTGTGAACATCAAAATGTCCCGTCTCACTCGTGGACCATGAAACGTAGAACTGAGGGTAATTTCTCTGGGAGCGTCTGTGCCTCAGCGCACACTCTGAGACATGTGTAGAGGAGTCAGCATCTCCTCAAAGATGGCTCCCTTCACATTGGAGCCTCTCAGGTTGGCCTCCTGAAGGTCGCATCCCGATAAGTCACAGTTCTGAAGGAAAAACAACACAAATGTATCACAGACCGTGGACCTAGGAGGTTTGGAGCTGTTTCTCTCACAGCCGCTCCCCCCGGCCAAGAGTGACGCCATGAGAGCCAAGAGATGAATCAATGTTAGTTTTTGCTTAAATTTTCACTACAGATTGTGAGTTGATGGCCTTCCCATCGACTGCAGCACAGTGACCGTTCTGACTGAACAGCCTCCGGCGGCTCAACCCGCTGCCACAGCAGCCGCACTGTTAGAGGTGAAGGACGAGTCCTGACAGCCGAAGCCGCAGACAGCGCTAAGATCTAACTAGTGTTGCTGTCCACAGCACTTTGTAAAGGAGAAAGCTTTCCAATCCCTCCTAAGGCCTTTTTGTGAGGGAACTGATTTCACTGCTGTTTAACACTTCTGAGTACCTGCACAGGCCACTGTGTATTCTCACCTCCAGGTCCGTCCCGGCCAGCGTAGCTCCCCTCAGATTGCAGTTCTTCAGTTTGGCGTTTTTCAGCGTGGCCACCCTCAGGTTGATCCCCGTCATCTGACTTCCCTCCATGTCCACACCTTTCAGATTGGCTCCTGACAACACAGACACACAAACTCGCACTAACTTCAACAGGAACGTCATGTTTTTAGGTGTGGTTTCATCTTAACGTGAGATCGGCTGCTTCACCCTCCAGATTGGCTTTGACTCCAGCAGGATCCTCAAAGTTACAGCCTCTCAGTGACGCTCCCTCAGCATTGGTGCACAGCATCTTCACCCCCTGCAGGTTGGCGCCCTGAAATCCACACACACACTGTAAGTGGAGGTATCAAAAATGCTACCAGGAGGGGAAAGTCTGAATGTTAAGATTCCCAGTGTCCCTGTCCTCATTCAGGGTCGGTGTTCACCGTCCCTGATGCCATTAACACAACTCACATCGAGACAGGCCAGGGACAGGTCTGCTCTCTCCAGGTTTGCCCCGCTCAGGTTGGCGTGGGTCAGGTTGGCTCCTCTCAGACTGGCCATCTTAAAGTTGATGTAGCGCAGATCCAGACGAGAGAGGTCGGCACCGTTAAAGTTCAGGCCCTGACACAAAACACACATATAAAGTATTTCAGGGACTGTGCATATCCTTCACTTGGAAGTCCATTATAATGTATAGATATTGTTGATTTAGCAAAAAGAGCCAGTCTTTAAGGCGCTTAGTTTCTTTACAGCGCATTTCTCAATACCAACCCCCAGAAAACATGAAGTCTGCTGCAGCTCTCGGTTCCTTAAAATCAAGGCAGAAAACTTCTGTTTGCCACTTTATTAAATTTGATATGGGAGCATCATTATTCTCCTCTTTAATCTGCTGCCTTCGATTTTAGCATCAATTTATTATGTGTGAAAGCCTTTTTATACCACCTTTGTTAGTTTTATATCTTCTCTTCATATGTCAAACATACATTAAAACATTAACTTCCCTGGCCTTATCTGTAAGGATGTTTGTGCCTGTTCATGTGTTTATTTCTGCCTACCTGACAGCGCAGCTCTGACTTGGTCGTCGTGGCCAACAGGAATCTGACAAACTCTTTACGGGTCAGAGGGGAATGGTCATCAGGAGGCTGAGAGGACTGGACAGGGGAAACGAGGAGGTCAAACCACTGGCACTGAATATATAAATACCTACTGATGTGATGCTTTACTCCTGACTGAGCTACACGGAGCTCTTTACACACACACACACACACCTTTATGAGGGCCTCCAACTGTTCAGCGAGCTGTTGGATACCAAAGAAACGAGCCTCTTCCAACACACCTGCAGTGGAAACGGTGAAGATTAGGAAGCACAGTAATCCAGGACTTGTTATGGACATGTGTGAGTGTGTCTGTTATACCCAGGGGGTTGATGCCTTCATTGATAATGAGCTGCCCGTGCCTCAGGTAATTCAGAATGGGCTCAAAGTAGTCTGGACTGCGATCTATCAGGTAGGTACCCTGAGAGTCCTGCTTGTTCCCCCACACATCTGAATCAAACACAGGAGGAAAGAGGAGGACAGAATATGACACAGTGATGTGAAATAAAAACATGCATTAATTCTCTTTGTGATAAAAGCAAACAGGCTCACCTTTCCCTCTGAACATGTGGGCCAACATGCTCTCAGGCTCTTTACTGACCAGCGTGCTCCTGAGGACTCAGACAAACACAGCAGAGTTCAAGCTCTGCCATCGGGTCATTTTCAAACGTAACTGAATATGATAATGATTTAGACTGGAGTTACGTTCAGCTGGTTTGATTCTTATCTTGCTGGTACAGGGTTCTTTGTAGCAACTAACAAATCTAAAATAATTTGTGGGGTCCCCAAGGATGGACTGAAGCTGACTGAGAGCTAGGAAATACAGTCTACCAGACATGTTCCTGTGGCTCATACTGGGATCTCCTAACTGGTAATGCAGATTATTTATTTCAAGGTGCTACAGAGTTACAAGCTGGTAGTTGACTGCAGTGTGTATTGACACTAAACCTGTGGCTTATCAGGCCGTAGAGGTTCCATCTGTTTATGTTATGTGTATTCTATCTATCCCAAAACATTCTCTACCATTGTCTCAGAAGATGGAACAACAACAGTATAGTACCTGTACCAGGGAGGCTCAGCAGGGCCAGGTGTGGT